TTATATGATATGGAAGTTAGGAAGCTGCAACGCCTCTTATGTGGGTCAAACCACACGTCATCTACACACCACATTTTCGGAGCACTTGAGAATATCCCCCCTTACAGGCAACCACGTTTTCCACCCTGCGTTATTAAGCATTTTTGCTTACATTAACGCACCCCCAATATAGACGACTTTAAACTAATCTCCTTTTCTAACGATTCATATGAACTTTCCATTCGTGAGAGCCTTCTAATCAATAAATGCAAGCCTTCACTTAATGTGCAAGGAAACTCCATTCCACATAACCTCTTTTAATTTCTCTTTATTTTACTTCCTAACTTCCTTATCATATAATCTATTTGACACCGCCTCCTTTAGTAGTAATTTAACACCTTTTTGTAATTATAATATCTTGTCTTAACACCCTATTTATTATTTGTCTGAAGATGTCTTGAGTAAAGACAAAACGTTACAATAAATTCAATATTACAATTTTTTTAAGGTCTATTTCTAAGGCTCTAATCAGAACTTTATGTTGCGTATTAATTTTTATTACACGAATTCGATTTCTGCTCGGCAAGTCTCTCGCTACTGCTTTTCTCTTATTATAAATCCTCTTGTTATCTTACTAAAGAGAACTAAGTCAAGGTACTCGTGCCAATATCACATTGGAATAAGGTTTAATTGAAGTAACCTTTGTGAATATGTAATTTTGTAAAATAATTTTATATATATAATATGTAAAATATTTTTATGTCTCGCCTTTCAATTGTCTCTATTTGCTTGATGAGACTGATTCTCCTCTTAAGACTAAATTTGACTAGCATAACTGAGAGTCTGAGACCAAACTAACGTTAGATAAAGTGTACTTCTAATATTCTTCTCCAAGTATCTTATTGTCGAACGACGTACGTAACCAAGCTGTCTATTTGCTTTTGAGGATTGCTGATTAATATGAGCTGACCAAGATAGGGTGGATGATGTTATAACTCCAAGATTAAAGTGCTTATGTAGTGCTTATGATTCTTAAAGTGCTTATGAAGTGAAATTTTCATACCTTTTTATTGGCTTGATGAAATGTTTAGATAATGACAAGCATTTTGATATATTCATGACCACGATACGTTGAGTGGAAATTGTCAAATTTCAACTCTAAAGGTCCCCCTTGCATGCAAACTTTTTTGGCCGCCATGTTTGCTCAATCTGACGTCATAACGAGTACGGAAGTCGCAAGCCTAATAAAAATTTCTATTGCACCGATGTTGTTTGTGCTGATTTTGATGAACTTTTTTTATCGTATAAAGATATTTCTTGGTAAAAAACTTAAAGTACATATTTTACAGTCCTTCTGTTCCTAAAAGACTTCAACAAAGAGTCAAATAATTGCGCACGAACGCCTGAAATCGTGAACTACCTGAAGACTGTCTCTTCATTTGTGACGGATATTTGGGGTGGTATTTAGCGTTTTGACGTTATTCATTGTTATGTAATAATCAATAAAAATTTAGTCAGATTTTAGTTTGGTGCATTTATTGTTTTTCACAACATTAAGTAATGTATATAACATGGACATTGCATGTTATACTTATATATTGTCCAGATGCAATTATGGTGCTAACACAATTATATTAAGTGGGCTAAAACTGTACCTTTACTTTTATTCTGGTCATTTATTTAAACATATAGACTGTCAAGAGTTAAAATTGAGCAAAAATGTATCAAGCAATAAGCAAGAATATAACAAACAGAAACAAGAAAATGCCAAACAACAGGAAGAATATATCAAAGAAATATTAATAAATAAAACAATGCATACTTATAAGCTTCTACAAACAAGAGAAATTTGTACACTACGTTTATCTTTAGAATTTTCTGTCAAGTCCTCCTTGTCTGCAGTTGTGATTTCCTCGATCTATTATTCAATCGTATACTTGGCAAAACCTCCTAATAACACCAACTGTAGTTTCTTCCTTTAACTTACGAAGTGATCGGATTTTTTCTCGAGTAATACGCAATGTGCACGAACTATAGCACGAATTTTCTGAATAAGCAAATAATTCCTCAATATCCATATTATCAGTGCACTTTTCCCAACTCAAAAGTCGAATCTCTACGCAAGAAATATACATAGTCAACAAAGTCTTAAAAGGCACGTTAATCCTTTCGAGGAAAATTTGCCCACTTCTTTCCCCTTCGTGTATATATTTCTCTTCTTATGAAATAAATTGATAATTATTCCTTCAGTGTGTTGATTATTGGAATAATTCACAAATATTTGATCGCTGGAGCATTGTGTCTTTTAGCGCGATGTCGTATATTTCTACTAACTCTAAAGGCCATGTTGACAGTGTATACTCGTTATGACATCACACGTGTCAAACCATGTCAAACTAAGTTCGCTAAGGAAGTGCCAAAAATCGAAAATTCAGATGGCTATAAAATCGGTCTAAAAAAATAATTTCATTTCTGTTTTCAGATACTAGCTTTTCAAAGCCAGTGCTTTTGATTAAACCAATAAAATAGGGCATGAAAATTTCAATTCATAAGCACTTTAATGAACTTCATTTTCTTCCTGCTACTGATTTCGTAATTTTTGTTTTTAAAGTTTCTGCTTCTTATTCAGCAAACCCTCATACTTTCTGAATAATGGGCACTTAACAAGGCCGAGTTCGATCTCAGGGATGAAAATGCTTCATGTAATCAGGCCTTGACTTTCTCGTAATTAGTAATTACAAGAAAAGAGGACGAAAATCACGGTTGACGCGTTCATTCTTTGCGTTTTTATTGCGAAAAATGCTGGCCGCCAGTAGATACCATTATTTTGAAAAAGCATTGAAACTTAGTATCTCATGAAAACAGGTGACGCAATAATAGATAATTGATAGCTTGAGAGCCTAGGACTGGTTTCTAAGCCCGAGAGAGCTAGAAAAATAAACACTCATGTTTGCTAGAAAAATAAACATTCATAAACACAGATGTCTTATACGCCAACGCAGCCATACACAGCCCTAGTATAAGTAAAAAATTACTTCTATCCAAGCTCTACTGTTGCTCTCAATTAGTTTTTGTGCGATTATCGTATGCAAGAACGGCTTTCCTTAACGAAGTAGCAACATGACCCTTATTTCTTTATTTTTTCTTGTTCTTTGTAAGCAAAAATCTATTGAAAAAATTTTTGGCTTCATTCCTTAAAATCCTCGCCATCCGAAAGAAAATCAAGCAATTAAGGAACGAATTTGAAAAATAGAATAGATTTCATCAAACTGCCGCTTCCATTAAGTCTTTATCAAAATTAATTGATTTAATACCACAACAATAATCGGTGCAGTGAAGCCTATTAAAAAACCCCAAGAAGCATGAATTTGCTAACTTTATGTCGTGAAGTAAATTCTTACGCGCACATGCATCAATTTGCAATAGGTGGTTTAGAATCAGTTCTGGAGCGATTTTTGACTGATTTTCATTCAACTTGATGGTTTCTTCCAATTCAACGGCTGCAGGGTTAATTTCCATAGCAAATTTTTTAAAAACTTCTTTTCCATTGGGGCAAAATTTCTTTTCATACGTTAAACTTTTGCTTAAACCTTTATTTCTTACAAATTTTTTAGACCTACTTGCTTCATTGGTTAAACCTTGTCTCTGATTAATTGTTGATGTTATTTTTTTGTCTCTAAACGTTGCAACATCGTTTTTAAGAAGTGGCTTTCTTGCAACAAAATAAATTTTAGCCCACACCAAAACAGTTTCAATAAAATACAAGAGAGAGATAAAAGCAAAAAAAAATTTGCAGTAATGATATCGATTCAACCAAACTTGCCACTGAACACATCAACAACGAAACACAACAACCAGTAAATATAAATACATCTTCAATTTTGTCTTTGTAACGTTTCTTCCATGATACAATACACGATACCCAAAATACTTTCTATATTCATAAGACAATAAAGTCATGGAGGAGCCAATAAACACCTAGTGGGCAAACCTTTGTACCTGTATCATTGTAAAGTTAACATCTAGAGTATAAACTGCAGTAAGATTTGCCAAAAAGTCAACATTATGGTTGATGTTCAAAATATGAGGTCCACAATGGATTGGAAAAATATAAGAAAATAACACAAAAAATATCTGAAGCGTTTTGACGATAGAAACGTCAAGATAGCAGTAAGATTTAGGAATATCGTTAGCAAGATAATTAAGATTAGTGCTACTAATTCAGCAATATAGATTATAAAGAACCCAACTTCGGAAATACCGAAACAAAGAGGACATTCAGCATTCAGCATTTGACAAATGTGAGTGAAACTATTAATCATTGTAATAAGATTATCTATAGATCAATAGTTCACAAAGAGTTTCTCTAAGCAAGCTTTTGCAAGATTGCAATAGTCTTTGGTCAATCATGGCAAAGCTTCAAATATCAGAGCAGTTCTTTCATACGTTTATAAATGATTCATAGATCTGTATCTTTGCTTTATCTAGTAAGAATCAACTGCTCGACAACGAGCAAATGACTGTAATGGACATGTGATAAGAGTTTCAGTAGCTTTACAGTATATGTTTCATAGTTCATTATTGTGAAAATAGATTTGCCAGGCGGCAAATATAATTGCCCAACATAAAACTTTGGAATATGATTTATGTTGGGCATTGTTATTCAGGGGCATTGGAGCTCTGAGGAGGGGTAGTACCTTTGGTGTCTGGCTGCTGCAATCTACCTGGTATGGTGGACAGGCATCACTGGCCCCCACTCATCTCTGAATCTCTCACATGTGGCTCCAAGCGCCATGCCCCGGTACACCGTCTCAGCAGGCGGGCTAAACCATGTGAGGGGGTGGTGTCTACACTGCACCACTGGGCAGACGAGCAGCGACAGGCAGCCAACGGCCAGGGCGGAGGGTCCACAAGTGACCCAACAACCAAGTGCAAACTCCTGCTGGCTAGAAGCTCTAGCCACCAGGTACTCGCCAACACAAACCGAGCCAGCGTGGAGAGTCATGGTTCAATCCCACAACATGAATTCACGCAATTCAAAACGACCCTCAGTCCCCGGCAGCCGAAAAGCAGAGGGTGCAAAGAATCTCCGGGTTCCCAAGATCTATATCTCTACATACAATGTGAGAACTTTGAAAGATGATGAAAAACTACTTGAACTGATGCAAGAACTTAATGAAACAAAAATGAAATGGCATATAATCGGCTTGGCAGAAACAAGAAGGAAAGGAGAACTGACGCAGATTGAAGGTGGCCACCTACTTTACACCAAAGGTGGAGATGTGTCAATGAAAGGTGTTGGTTTCTTAATCCACCAAAGCACTGACTTTGAGGGCCGCAGCGACAGAGCAGCATCCATCACAGTGAAGATCAACAGCAGATATTCGCTCCAAGTGATACAGATATATGCGCCAACAAGCAGCCATGACGATGTAGAAGTGGAAGAACTCTATGAGGAAGTGACAAGTGCAATGGACAGGAGGCAAAGTCATTGCCACGGGGTCATGGGTGACTTCAATGCCAAAATTGGAAGACACCAACAGAGTGACGGAGCAACAACTGGCATGCATGGACTTGGAGGGAGAAATGAAAGAGGAGAAATGATGGTTCAATTCGCAATATCCAATGGATTGACGATCGCAAACACAATGTTCAAGAAACCAGCAAAGAGGAAGTGGACATGGCGCAGCCCAAACGGTGAAGTTAAGAATGAAATTGATTACATCCTCGTGAACAAGAAAGAGATAATGTTGAACATTGAAGTGATCAACACAGTCAACATCGGGAGTGACCACAGAATGATCCGCAGCACCGTCAGAATGAACACAAAGATGGAAAGAAGCAGAATGGTGAAGGCATCAGCACCAAAAATCAACATCGAAGGACTGCTTCAGAAGAGGGAAGAATTTCAAATTGAATTAAGCAACCGTTTAGAATTAAGAAATTCTAGGAAACGAGATTGACGACGTTGAGGAAAGCGCTGCGCAACTAAGCGATACCATCCAGCGATGCGCAGAGAAGGTTGCAGGAAAAGTGATGAACAGGAAAGAGGAAAAGCTGAAGTCAGATACCAAAGCCTTGCTTAAGAAACGGAGAGAAATGAAAAGAGTGACAACAAGAGAAAAGATAGAATATTCAGAACTGTGCAAGACAATCAGGAAGAAAACAAGGCAAAATCTGAGAGAAGCAAACACCAAGAGAATCAGAGAAGCAGTTGAAAGTGGCAAAGGGTTGAAAAAGAGCACAACAGGAGATGGAAAGAAGGCTCTGATTCAAACACTGAAGGAGAAGGATGGAAAGGTAACAACAGACAGAAAAAGAATCCTCGAGAGATGTGCAGAATTCTATCAGGCACTGTACGAAGATCCCTCCGAAAACATTCAGTTGAGACCAGCAGAAGAGACACCAGTAATCATGAAATGTGAAGTGGAGAAGGCAATCCATCAGATGAAAAACGGAAAATCACCCGGTGAAGATCTTGTGGTGATAGAGATGATATAGGCCGGAGGTGACATCCTAACGGAAAAACTTCAGCATCTTTACAACAAAGCCATTGAGACGGAAAAAGTGCCAAAAGAGTGGAAGAACGCCATCATTATTCTACTCTTTAAGAAGGGAGACAAGAAAGATCTTGCAAACTACCGCCCCATCAGTTTGCTATCCCACATCTACAGGTTGTTCATGAAAATCATCAAGAACAGAATAAGTGGCACTCTGGATGAACATCAACCCCCAGAGCAAGCAGCATACAGGAAAGGATTCTGCACTGCAGACCACCTGCATGCTACAGGACAAATACTCGAGAAAACCAACGAGTACCAACAACCACTGTTCATGGCATTTGTAGATTATGAAAAGGCATTCGATTCCATCAAGCATGCCCCAGTATTCCAATCACTTGAGAACCACGGAGTACCAGGAAAGATCATAAACAGCATAAAGGAAACATACAGAGAAGGCACAGCACAAATAAGAACAGAAAAGCTGAGCGAAAAGATCAAGATAAAGAAAGGTGTCCGCCAAGGAGATACACTGTCACCTATCATGTTCACTGCTGCCATTGAAGAGATCTTCAAAAGAATACCATTGGAAAAAGGCATCAACATCAAAGGAAGAGTAATGAACAACTTAAGATTCGCAGATGACATCATCTTGTTTGCACACAAAGAGGAAGATCTCCATGAACTTTTGATGAAATTGAATGAAGAAGCAAAGAAAGATGGTATGAAAATGAATAAGAAAAAAACCAAGATCATGTGCAATGACATCGCAAGGAGGAAGCAAAGAAGAGGGATCACAGTTGACGGAGAGAAGTTGGAGGAGGTGGAGGAGTACAAATACCTTGGAAAAATGTTAACACCAAGAAATGAAATCAGTGTTGAGGTCAATCAAAGAATCAATGTCGGATGGAGAAGATTCGGGCAATACAGTCACTTTCTAAAGGAGAAGAATATCCCAAACAGTTTGAAGAGGAAAATATTGGACACTGTCATTTTACCATCTAGGACATACGGAGCAGAAACATGGGCGCTTACAAAACACCAATCAAGGAAGCTGGCAGTCACACAAAGGAGCATGGAGAGGAGCATACTAAATATCAGGCTAAAAGACAAGATCAGGAATGAAGTAATCATAGAGAGAACCAGGGGAAAAGATGTCATCCAAACAGCAAAAGAAATGAAAGGCAGATGGGCAGGCCATGTGGCAAGAATGGAAAACAACAGATGGGCCAAATTGACAACAGAATGGTACCCAAGAAACTGCACCAGAGGAAGAGGAAAGCCAAAGAGAAGATGGAGAGACGAGATCGAAGAGGAAACTGGAAAGACCTGAATGAGGAGAGCTAAAGACCAAATCGAGTGGAAGAAGTTGTGGAGGCTATCTGCCAGCAGTGGCGTGAGCGGCTGATGATGATGATGATGATGATTGTTATTCATATTAAGAATATCTGATGTTGCATTGAATAAAAAACGATCTGCTTTCATCGATTTAATTAAGCTATATATACATATCTTTGCCTATCAGCTTAGTTAATCAGCTTCATAATTATAACACTAATGAGCTCAGATAAAATAAATACTTTCCAAAAATGAATGAGCATGATAGCAAAACCATATCTTTGGTAAATTGATAGGAAACTCCTAACAAAAATACTCTTTCCGGCGAATAACACCACAAACAAAATATAAATCAATTTTGACCAAAAAGGAAAAGTTCATTGTGTAGAAAATGTACTTTGTCAATTCACGGCTTCTTAATTTGCAACTTTAATTTAATTTTAGAAATTAGCGTTCACTTTTTTTGGACGTCAAGCATTTAATGAATATTAAGCTTACATGCTATGTTGAAATATTATATTGAACAAGAAACAAAATAATCTTAGACTCTTTTGCATTGCATGATCTTGATATTTTAAAGGATATATGTAGCTAATTAAGATCCAACTGTTGCTAACTAAGAATACAATCGCGAAATCATTAGTGGTTTGCTGGCTGCTTCTTTTACGAAATATGCTGGCTTCTGAAAAAAGAAACTAGTAATCCAATTAAGTACGTACAAATGCATGAAAGAAGTGTGTGTTGTAATTTACTATTCTTTAGGCTTTATTTAACTTTAAAAAACAACTTAAATGCTAAAATCAATAATATGGCGGATAAACATAAGAATGAGTACCGCTGGTTATAAAGTACCGCAGATAGTGGCACAGGGAGACCAATACCAACAAAACAATATTACAACAGTGTGCATTTTAAAACCTGCTAAACACAATAAAAGATGTATCTAACGATTGTTTTTGTGATGATGTAAGCAACATGAAATTGCCGTCGATACATAAAAGTCATACTTATTTAATTGTAAACATGTACATGCCATCATTACTATACATGCGTTTTGAAATCTTCATAAAATATTGAAAAGAAAGTCAGCTACAGTTGCATGCCTAATATTAAAAACCCAATCACCAATCACAAAAAGAAAATTTTAAGTAAATACAAGTTAAAGACGAATGAAAATCCATTTAATTGCCGATCAAAACCCGACTGCCCATTGGAAGGAAAATGTGTGACTTCATCACATGTGTATAAAGCTAAAATCATCATTACGAGCACGCAAAAATCTAAGATGTACATTGGAATGACAGCAGAAACCTTTGTAGATCGATACAACATCCACAAAAAATCTTTACGACACTACCAGTACAAAAATGAAACGGAACTTTCCAAACATGCATGTGAACTCAAAAAAACGATGAAACATGCTTCATCAAATGACCTATAATTAAATCTGCACTGGCATACAAAGACGAAGTCTTGCTGCTTGTGCTTAGAAGAAAAGATGAAGATCATGGAATACAACAATAAGAGAGTACTAAACAAAAGGTCGGAGATGTGCGCTAAATGTCGACACAGAAAAAGTTTTCCTATCAAAGTTTTAAACGCACTTGACAGTTAATTTGAATAATGTTCGTCAGCAGAAACGTTACAATCAACGGGACAATAGTTTTATTGTTTTTATTCACCTAATGATCACCGTAAGGCGAGAAACATTGTGTAGTTAATTTCATGATAATATTTATTGTAGTTTTATAAATTTGTAACTTAAAAACTATTCATCTAATCAATTATGTTAAAATTACAATAGTTACATGGGTTAAATTTATTATAAACCTCCCTCAACAAGTTTTTTTCGTTGCCATGGTTACGACTAAGGCTTAGTCAATCGATTTCAAAGGTTCTATGTAACATTTTAATTTTTTTCGTTTTCGTACAGCAATATTCACAAATTTGTGATTGTCGTAACCAGGATAAATAGTCATTATTTAATCTGCTTATAGCGAAGCACTTTTTGAGTGAAAAGTAATTGCCATATTTTTTGCATAAATTATACATGCTCTTCTTATACAAAGTATACTGATGAGCTTGGATAGTATTTGAAAATTTTCCAGATATGAACAAGCAGGATGTCAAGACCATATGTGTGCTCTGTTCATATATGCTTTTTAAAAAGTACACTTTTCATTAGCAGAATAACACCACACATACTTAAACTTTCGGCAAAAAACTTGAAGTTTTGTCAACTTCATGAGCAATCAGAACGTTAAGTATAGCTAGCAAATATATTTTTACATATAGCTGAGCATTATTCAAATCTTTCATAATTGCAACATATGGATAGTTGTTTATTAATAGCCTTAAAACACTTAGCCCAATATGGTTTGATTGAATCGTACTACTTAGTTTTTTTTCAACAAATAATGCATTCTATTCTTACACATGGATGCTATTCAAATTTATAAGAAATTTAATGAGCTAAGACGTTAGTGACGGATTATCCAGATATGAACAAACATGATAAAACCATATGTTTGAATATTTTCATGCGCATAATTCACTAAAATATGAAAATTGCAGTTAAAGCATATAACTTTATCGGCTTTCTTCACAGAATAACACTACACGACAACCTAAATAGCTATATCTGCAAATGAACTTCTAACGTTATGGAAAACATACTTTTTTAAAATGAGCAGTAACATTGTCACAAGTACAACTTAAAACAAACACTGAATGCTGAATACTGATCAAATATTAGCACAGCTCAAGTGAATAAATTGTACAAAGGAACTCTATAGTTGTCTACGCCAGAATTCCAATTTTCGTTTCAACTTTTATGTGCTAAAATTTAAAATTACTTAAAAGATCCCAGGTTCTAAAACTATATTGTTAGAGTTGAGCATCTTGCATCAAATGTGTGTAATTCGATGATTTTTTAGTAAAGTGGAGAGATTTGGCATTCTGTTGTCACTAAACTCTGCATTATCATTATATTTATAAAGGTGTAGTTTAATTATTTCATTAAACCAAGACATCACAGCTGTTTATTTACAATAATTACAGGACGTGCTTTAGCTTCTGAAAATTAAAGTGATGATCTTATTTATGATATTTTAATGCATAGAGAT